AGAAAAACCTAACAAAATCCGTTTTTTTGCTTCTTGAACTTTGAGGACTCTCACCTGGACAATAGCAAATGGAGTGTCTGCTGAATTCAGGAAGTAGCTGATGACATCTCCGAGCCAGCACCTCACCTGCCTGTCCTTGTCTTTATTCCCCAGCCCACTCACATCCCTGAAGCTCATGTGAGCACTATCGGGCCCAAAGCATTTTACTCTCACTTCCAACACTGAGGTCTAGAAACCTGAGCCCTGGAATAATCTTTAAAATGAAGACTCTGTGGAGAGCCACACTGTTAAGTACTCACCACTTCTATCCCCATTGTACAAACTAAAACGAGAATTAGAAAGCTGTTAATAGGTGCATAAAAATGCGCCAACTCATCTATCGTACATATGAATGCTAAACAGGAAATTAGAATGATGTAGAGAATAGATCCCACGATGACAACGAAATCCAGAGCTGGGAATTGAAAAAGATCCCTCTTAAATTGAAGACACATGTCTGGACTTAAAATGTGGAAAGTGAAGGTGGTGTCTCCTTGTATGTATACATTGACTTCTTAATTGTGCATTCTGAGCTGCAAAGCCCCCCCCCCACCCCCGGCTTGCCCTCAAATGTAAACATTTGAAAAAGTGTCTTATTAAGGTCTAAAGTCTTTCAAATAGATTTTAAAGGTTGAGCAGTTACATAATTGGCTCAGTTAGATCCAATTACACAATTAGTGTAAATTGGAAATAATAGAATCAGAACATATAATTTCATAATGATGACATATAACAATAATGCAGAAATTACGTTGGCAAGTGGTGCTCGTGAAGGAGGGGTGCATTTAATTCTTAGAAGACTCGATGTCTTTCATGAGCCCAAACATCTCCCCCTTCAACAGTTACGGCTCAAAAATATGTTTTAACTAAGCAAGATTTATTTTGAGTTCTAGACCCAGAAAACAACATCTGGAAACTTGTTAGTTCTTTTTCTTCCTTACGTAGCTAAAGTAACGGGTGACTGGATTTGTTTTCTATCTCATTAAAACATCATCCCTTTCTTTCTGAGGTCTTAATAGATTATTGCAAGGAAGAATTCATTCTCAAGGGTGAGTTATGCTGAAAAACCCACCAACGCACATCCTGGCCCCTCCTCTGCTGGGAGAGTAGCTTAAGACGCACTCCTGAGGGTTTGTGCATGTGTTGGGGGAGCTGGGCTGGGGAAACGCTGTGAGAGACACAACAGAGGGATTCAAACGTCTTGTCTCTCAAATCAGCCACCCGATTTTTAATACCGTGTTCATTATATTTGGTTCAGGTGGCATAACCCTTCCTAGTGCATCCGTATTTTCCGATTTTAAAAGAGAGGAAAGGTGACATTTGACTAACGAGAAATTCATGTTCCAAATTCTTGTGGCTATTTTGTTGTATCTTTCTGCAGATTATGTCCAACTAGCAGAGGGCTAAGAAGAAACCATTCATTTGTTAATTCACTCATTATTTTATATAGTCATTCAATAAGCATTTTGAGCTTCCTGAGGGAAGGGACTGTTTCTTATTTATCCTTACATATCAAACGCATAGCACAGCTGCTAGCATATGGGAGGGACTCAATGTTTATCGAACTGCTTTTTAAACATGTTACAGATATTAACCTGCCCTGGTATCACTCAGAACAAAGGGCTATTTTACTCGTGGTCAAGACAGACAATTATGTTAACAAAAACATGAGTTAAATTGTCCTAGCTGACTTTGCCACGGTGTCAGAAAATAGTTTTTAGTCAAGAGTCCAATATTTAGAAGAGTTTAAAAGTGCCATGCACTAAATTGAGGGAATGATCCTGAAAAAACCATGGTCGTGTGTGTGTGTGGGTGCCAGCCAGGGTCCTGATTACAGCCAAGTACCACCCGAACACTCCAGGCAGATAGCAATTCTCTGAGTACGTGTGGTGCCTCTCTGGTTTCGATCCTGCTGTTTGTCAAATTAAGCAATAAATATCCCTAAAGGCCCCTAACATAGCTCAGCAAATGAACACTAAAATATCTGAAAATATCCCTAACATGTTAGAGCCACATCTAAAAGCCTTGGGCATTTTTCTAATGATCTCTGTTTTGTTTGTTCCTCCTCAATCATCATCCTTTGGGTAACGGGAGAAGCAAAAGTGCTTAGTGATGCTCAAAGGCCATCACCAGGCCAGGCTGCAGGATTTATCCTCTTACACCTTTTCCTCTGGTTCTTTTTTGTTTTTTGTTTTTTGGTTCCCTTTCATTATTTTTATTTTCCTTCATGACCCTTCCTTTTCCCTTCTCATATTCTGTTCCCAACACATACTAGCTCAAAATATCAACGCTTATCAAAAATGAGGGTTTCCTTGCAAGAAGGAAATATATTTCCCAAAACACCTTGATTTACTCGTATCTCTCCTATCCCAGAAGATGTTTTGTGTTAAAATCAGATGCTCAGTTGTAATAGATAAGTATGACATTGGGGATGGGAGGGCAGTGGATGGCGGGAGGGGGGTTTGTCACTTTGTGAGGGGTGAAAAGGAAAACTATTGCATTGTTCTGTACACCTGAAACTAATAATAATAATGATAAAAAAATCAGATGCTCAGATAGGAAATATTTTAAACAGCTTGATTTAGGGTTTAAAAACAGGGATGAAGAAGTTTTAAGTTTCTGTTACTATTTCAGAGTCGTGATCCTATCACTGGATGGATTTGGAGGCACAAATATATCTGCTCAGGTTCTCACATCTAGGAGCAATATATTAATTTGTTTACAATGTATGTGTTAATGCATATTGGCATAAATCTTTCTTATTTATATATTAATATCTATAAAACTCATCTTCATCCAGCACACACCGCCAATCTGCACAAAGCCTACCCTGTGTGACGCACTGCCCCCCCAACCCACACACACACAACACACACATACCAATTCCTCTCTACCGCTGCCCAGTTAGATGTCACTCTACATCTTTAAGTATACACAGATTTTCATTGGTTCCATTCTTAGGGAAATTATCCTATTCTACTTTGGGTTTGTTATTCTCCTCTCCTTCTTACTAAGCTCTAAACTCGCTGGCAGAGAAGAAATGTATCAGGCTTTTTAGTATAGTCCCTGAAATCTTTTAATTCAAGGGACATATGGGTGCCCAATAAATATATATTAGTTACATTTACTCAAACTTTGATGAAATACAGCAATGTGAAGTCACACTTTAAATGCACTGCTTTCCACATGGTTTCTTACCCAGCAAGCAGAAATAAAATGTTTCACACAATAGTCCCCGTACATTTCAAGATCAAGAATGTATAAATAATAACTAGAGTGCATATCCTCAAAATGACTATCTTTTTCCCTAATTTAGAAGGGAGAAAGGGAAGAAAAGATATATGGATAAAAAAGAACATTAGGTCCTGTCTATTGTCATATGAAGAATGCAGAGAAAACAACTCATAGGAAGATGCAAGTCAATAATTAAAAAGAACATGAAAAATGCTAAACTATCAAAATTCAGTTTACATGTAGCTCGTCTGTGACACATAATATTGTCAGGTAAGGTAAACTATTACAATATTAACTTGTATGTATTAATATGTTAGCCTCTGAAAATGTTCTTTCATTGCTCCTTATATTATAGTTTATGTCTCCCTAATGGATGATAAGCTCCCAGGAGGAATGATACGGAGCCATTGTTACCTGTCTCTCCTACCACCTTGGCCTTGGTGCTCATTAAATGTTATCCTAGGGTCCACGCAGCAAAAAAGGACCATGACTCTTCTAAGGGCCCATTCTCAAATAGTTAATACAATGTTGAAGGATAATTTTTGAGAGAAAAATCCAATATACAGCTATGCTTATTATAAGGCTACAAGAATTTATATCAGATGCAATGATATTCACTAAATGTGTATCATGGATGCACTAAAGTTGTATCTCTGGCTTCTCCTTTTTTTAAGATTTTTTTTTTAATTGGGGAATTGGGGGGATGGGAACAGTGCTGGGGAATTGGGGGAAGGGGAACAGACAAGTTGCTGTCCTTTTGTTCTTCAGTCTAGTTGTGGAGGACGTTGCTTCACTGGCCCAAGTTGGCACCATCATTGTGCTCTTCCTGGGCGAGGCACATCAGTCGCCGGCTTCTGGACGGCCGCTCACAGCGGCTGCTGGCCACTCACGCTGGCTGCTGGCTACACACGGTAGCCCATGGCAACCCACTGCCACAGAAGCTGCAGCCTACGCCATCGCCAGCGATTCATGGCAGCCCAGCTCCAGGTTGAGCTGTTGTTCAGCATCTTAGCTGTGGAGGGCAGTGTCACTGGCCCTCATATGTGGGATTCGAACTGGGGCCCTCTGGCGTCCCAAGTATCTCTGGCTTCTCTTTAAGCCAGCTAGTTTTAATCTTCTATGAAACTGAAGAAACTTTGAATGAGGGACAGCCACACCCTCTGTGCAATGCTACTGATCTTAATGAGGAGTTACAAGCAACAGGACCACTGCAAATCCATCACCAACACTGGCAAACCCATGCAAAGTGTATGCTGACAGAAAGCCAGTGCTTTCCCATTGAGATCGGACATTATACGCCTCACAAACACAATTGAATTTCTTAAACCCTTGATTTCTGAAATTCAAGGAATTTCAAAAAGTGTGAATCTTCTGTTTATATTTGGCAATGCGAAACTTCCAGATTTGGGGAATTGAGACACCAGCAACGACAGGAAGTATGAGGTCAGAAGATGACAGACGAGACAGATGGTGCTATTCACTGCACAGAGAATTCTTCAGTAAATATCTGTGCCCTTGAGACTTCGATTTGGTTTTTTATAACTAAGAAGTCCACTGGGAACCAATGATTTAGCCAGTGAAGGGGCTCTTCAGTGATTGACAGTCTTATTTAAAAGTTACCAAAGTGACTGTGAAAACCTTTATATTTTGGGAGAAGGGTAAGGTAGAGAAGATAAAAGCATACAAAATGCAATACAGTCCCAGATTAAAACCCACTGATCACTCACCACAATCATTTGGGCCACATAACTTTCAGGTCCAGTGTATTCAGTTGGGTCTTTAACCTTCACCAAGACTAGGAAGTACAAATAATGCCACATATTGTGTTCTGACTTGATGTGCTCCTCAAATGAAACAGTTTTATTATCAAACTTGTCCCTCTCAAGTCCTGCAAAACACAGGAAACACAACATATATAATTTATCATTTAATTAGCACTTACCTCTTAGCAAAAAACAAAACATAATAATTATGTGAAAAAATCTTTTCTGTAAGAGTGTGCCAATTTAAAATGTTACGATTAAAAGCAACATAGTACATAAGACCTCCAGAAAAAAGGCCATGGTTTACAGATTTCTTCTCAACTAACATCAATCCCCAGCCCCCACCCATGGGTCCTTAGAAATGTATAGTTCTATTAATAGATACAAATTTTGCAGATAATTTTCACTATAGCCATATCAAAATTGTTAAATTAAATTGGACCACAAGTCTAAGAAAAAGAAGGAAAAATGCTTGTGCAAGAAAAGGGCACACTTGCAATCAGGACAGATAAAAGTCATTTTATCCAGGAGCTTGGGTAAAATGAAGGAAGGCAGCTGAGAGAGCTATCTTTTCAAAATCACTTGCAATCAGTGAAGGGTAAGTGAATGTCCACAGAGACCTGAGCTCTGAGTGCAATAAGGACTCAGGCTCGTCCAGCCCCATAGACTAATGTGTTCCAGGCATTTGGGGAAGGGAATGGTCTGCTCCATTTCCAGGGCACACTTTCAGTCTCTGGAAGGACACTGAGGAAAGGATCTGGGTAGCAATATTCTGTTCTCTCAAAGGTTGAAGAGTGGACAAAAGGAAATGAGTGGAGATGGAGAAAAACATCTATGGAAAAATGAATTCAAATGCCAAATAAAATGGGATGTTGGGATTCAGTCTGGTTTTGCAGTTCAGATATTGGAGAAGAAATCAGGAAATACATTCAATTGCAATCCTGGCTACTCTTTTCCTAAGCATTTAAAAGGAAAAAAAAAGGTCATTCAGCCATTCTAGCATGAAGAAGACCCTTCAAATAATAAGACACAAAGTACAGTAAGTAAAAAAATCTGTCCCCAATAAAGGGGTGACCTTTTAAATTATATTATTGGATATTTTAATGGAAAATACCATAAAATTCAGCTGGCTGATGGCTATGCCTCATCTTATTTGGCCTATCATCAGCTCAGCATGCCCCAAATAAAATCCAATCCTCTTCCCCAAACCTACTCCACCCACAGTCCTCTTTTCATTCCATGGCAACACCACTATTTCAGTTGTTCAAGCCAAAAGTCTAGGAGCCATCCTTGAAATCTGTCTCTCTCTCTCTCTCTCTCTCTCTCTCTCTCTCTCTCTCTCTCTCCAATCCATGTTGGAATTCTTTTGACTCTGCCTTCAGCATATATTCAGAATCGGATCCCTTCTTACCACCTCCGCTGCTTCCACTCTGGTCTGAGCCATTATTATCTTTCGTCTGGGTTTGTGCAATAGCCTCCCAGGCTTCCCTGTTTCCACTTTTACTCACTACAGCCTATTCTCAACACAGCAGTCAGAGTGATCCTTTAAAAATCTAAGTGAAATGGTGTCTCCCCTTTTCCAAATCCTGCAGTGGTTCCTCCCCTCCTTAAAGGTCAAAATCCTTTAAATGACCTACAACAGGTTTGCCAGATAAAATATTGGATTGTCGGAAAAGTCATGAAGCATTTTTGCAACAAAAAACATCGAAAAAATACGTCATGACTTTTTCAACAACCCAATACACATTGTCCAATTGAGTTTGAATTTCTGATAAATAACTGTTGAGTGTAAGTACGTTGCATGCCATAGCTATTTGCTAAACCCTAAGTGATTGGGCCCTGTAGCCTCTCTACCCTCGTCGCCTACTATCCTCTCCCTCGCTAAGTCTCATCCAGCCACACTGGCCTCCCTGCTGCCCCTCGCACACAGACCCCTGCTTCAGAGCCTTTGGGCAGGCCGTTTCCTCTGCCCACAACACTCTTCTGTTCTCTGGTGTCTCTCTGACGAACTCACTCATCTTCAAGTTTTTGCCCAAATCTCACCTTCTCAATGTGGCTTAACTTAATCACCTCATGTAATCCTACCACCTGTTCCTTCCCTTTTGCTGACACTCTGGGTCACTCTTTCCTTTTCCCTCTTTTTCCGATAGCACTTAATCACCTCCTAACAGACTGAACATATTCATATCCACAGTCTTAAATCAAAGTGGACCACAAGTCTAACGCAAAGACGTAAAAACGATTGTGCAAGAAAAACCCTGCCTGCTAATCAGCGTAGAAGAAAGGAATGTCATTTCATCCAGGAGCTTATTAGGTTAATGATCTATTGCATGTCCATGGGGAGATTATCTGTCTCTGTTATTCACCAATGGTCCCAATAGCTTAGAACCGCACCTGGTACATAGTTGGCACTGAATAAAATATTGACTCAATGCCTTAAGAATATTTCACTCCTAAAATATTGTCCCACTGGGGTGACTATAATTATAAACAGATAATAGTAACTGTTGATGATGATGTGGATAAATGAGAATCCTCACACTACTGGTGGAAATGTAAAATTGTGCAGCTGCTTTGGAAAAGTTTGGCAGCTCCACAAAAGGTTAAATATAGAGTTACCATATTACCCAGTAACTCGACTTCAGAATGTGTGTGAGAGTGTGTGTGTGTGAGTGTGTGTGTGTATAAATATATATATATATATATATATATATATATATATATATATATATATTCATAATACTATTCATAATAGCCAGAAAGTAGAAACAATCCAAATGTTCATCACTGAAAAAGGATAAACAAAATATAGTATATCTATACAATGGATTTCTTTTTGCATTAAAAGAAACAAAGTACTGATACATGTTACAGCATGAACCTTGAAAACATCATACTAAGTGAAAGAAGCAAGTCAAAAAAGACCACATATTATATGATTTTATTTATATGAAATGTCCAGAATTGGCAATTCTATAGAGGCAGAAGATAGATCAATGACTCCCTTGGGCTGAGGAGGATACAAGGTTGGGGGTGGTGGTGATGAAGTTTCTTTTGGGGGTAATGAAACTGTTCTAAAATTGTGATGATAGATGCATAACTCTGAATACACAAAAAAACCATTGATTTGTACGTTTTAAATGGGTGAGTTGTAAGGGATATAAATTATATCTCAAAAGAGCTATTATCCCACAAAAAGTGAAAATGTTGAAGTAGATTTTCTCAGAATTTAAACAATTATCTACCTGTTGCAATGTACATAGAGCTATAAAAATAATGTCTACTATCAATTCATACATAATATGGTAGAGGAAACAGACAGCAGACATTTTGAAGTGGTATAAACTGCCAAGGACACATAGAGTAAGGCAAAATGAATTCTGACTAGATATATTTAAAAAGGTTTTGAAGCAGTACATCTGACTAGGTACCTTTTAAATGATTTCAAAGAGGCATAAAGCTTTGATTGTCTGGCCTTGAAACATGATTATAGCAGGTGAATGGTAATAAAAGATATTTCATTTTTATTGAGCACATACTTATGCTGATAACTTATAAAGAATATCTAAATATGCTATTATAAATGCAGCAATCTAATCTGACCTTTTAGCACATGAGGAAACAGATTCAGAGGGATTCAATTAATTGCTAAGTTAACACCTCTAGTTAGCAGAAAAGTATGTCAGTATTTAAATAAAAATATTTCTGACACCCAAGCTATGTTCTTTTGCTATGTTCTTATGTTCTGGGCAGGGTAAATGGCATGGCAAAGCTAGAGATCAAAGCAGATGACCTATTTTGGGGAGTGTCAATTCCTCTGGTGTGGCTAGAAGGGAACATTTGGAAACGATGATGAAATGGTACATCTGGCACACACCATAAGGAGTTTTAAATGCAAAGTTAAGGAGTCTGCACTTTATTCTGAAGGCTTGCAAGTGGCGACTGGCATATTCAGAGCTGTGCTTTCAGTAACTTCCTGTGGCAGGATCAGAGATTGTGGGAGAAGAGGCTGAGAGGCTGAGTCCAGGGTACTAGTACTAACAATGGGGAAGAAGTGTAGAAGAGGGGAACTGGTTATCTTTCATTTTCATTGGTTCTTGCTCTCTAAGCTGTATTGTCTGTTGCCCTGGTTTCCACCATCATCATGCTGATGAGTTCTCAATCTGTATCCCAAGTACTGACCTTTCTTCTCAGCTTCAGTTTCTATTTCCAGCTGCCTTCTGGATAAATTCTCCCGGGTAGCTTACGGGCCTGTCAAGCTCAACTCATCAGAAATGTGTTTCTTTAGCCTTTCTTATTTATCTCTGATAATGAAGTCCTTGTCAACCCAGGAAGTTGAAGTCATCCTCAGACTCACGCTGTGACTATCCCCTCCTTTCAGGCACTCTGGCTTTCTCACCATTCTCCAAACACACCAAATCCTTTGAAAACTCTATGCCTCCATCTAGTCTCTTTCCCGCCTTCCCGGTATTCCTTCTTCAAAACCCAGCTCAACCTCCACCACAACTCTGACTCCCCCGCATACAACCAGTTAGCTGATGCTCTCTGTGTCCACAATACTTGGCTACAAAACTGTGTTTCTATCTTCGTCTGTACTACTTGACTGTCTGCCTTATTTTTGTATTACCAGCACCTGGCATCGTAGCTGAAAAACAGTAGGCATTCAACTAAAGTTGGCAGAATAATTGAATAAATGAATAAGAGAGGTTGAAGAGGAATTCGGAATGAAATTTAAGAGGCCTTGACATCCCGTGAGAGCTATTGATTTAGGTGGAATCAAGAGTGATTGAATTTTCTGACTCGAATGACTGAGTTTAAGGTGATATCACTAAAGCAACAGAAAGAAAAAAGAAGAGAGAAAAGAGATTTTGCAGGGAGGATACGTTTGATTTGGGATGTGGTGAGTTTAAGATCCTATAGAACAACAAATGTTGGGATGTTAGGCAGGAAGTCGTAACTCCCAACAGAGAGTTAAAAGTGTCAATATAGGAGTTCAAGGATAAATGACATAACATGAACAAAGAAAGCCAGGATACTGGATGAGGCGACCAAGGAAGAAAGAAAGGAATCATAAGAATAGCTTCGTGTGCTTAATACAAACTTTTCAGGAAAAATAAACAGACTC